TACACACACACACACACACACATAAATCCATTGGAAGAAATTAAACATTAATTTTTCTTCTTTCCTAGATTGTTTGCATGTCAGCTGATTTTCTTTCTAAGTCATGAAATAGATGGAAATGAGCAAGGTAAGGGTTCCTTAACAGGAACACACAGTATTTAGGTACTTGTACTGACCGGCTCAGAGTCATAGCAATAATCATCCCAGCTCTGTCTGAGGGGTTTCTTTGTTATCTGAAAGTAAGGCAGATTAGTTAGGTATAAATAATGGTTATTACACTCCCCTAATAATCTCTTAGATATAGTGTTCAGATGTCACTGCTGCTACCCAAAAAAAGTTATTTTGTATAGCAGCATAAAACAAGAAACAACTAGGTAAATGTTCTGATTCTGGGGGGTCACATATCATTATAACCAATCCATACTTATTCTTGTCCAGATCTGTATTAAATGCTGAGTCTCATATTTTATGAATACTGACCTTATAACAAGAATACATATGGCATGGCCACTGATTACAAAAAGATCTGGAAGAATAGTAATTAACTCTAATTTCTCTAATACTAACAACTATCAGCTCATTTATGGGCAATTACTACTTTTTAAAAAGGAAAACATTTAATTACCCAAATATAATGCAAATAGTTTAAACGGGGGTGGGGGGGAATCAGAAGCCACATCAATGTCTTTTTTGTAAAAAAAATCTACTTAATTCTATACAGTACAAATGCTTAGTATTTTATCAGGAAGTGGTATTTTGAATAATTTCACAATTCTCAATATATCAATACAAAGTAATTTCATTTATATAAATATATCGCTTCAAAATTAAGAAATATCAGTTATACAGCAGGCTGTATATCTTGGGAAAAGTTTAAGATGTTACTTTCATAACCTAAATACCTACTACAATTTTTGAGCCATTATCAAAATTTCAACTTGCTTACAAAAACTTCATAAGGATTTTTTAATTACCATAATAAAGGAATGTCTTTCCATAGATATTTTTGTCTCGAAAAATTAAAATAATAGTAAGAGACAATTTAAATGATTTACTGTCATACCAATTCCATTAATGTTGGTCCTAGAATTTTTGTTAATATGAGGAATAATAAACTTAAAGAAATGAATGTATTGAAAAGTTGTGATAATTACTACTTATTACAGAAGTTTGGGAGTATAACATGAGTTTCAAGGGAAGATACAAATTTTCTAAGTCATTTCTTTTAATGCACTTCATATTGAGCATTTAACAGGATCGTTCATTAAACTATAAAAATAATCATACTCTAAGTCAGTATTACAGTATCATGCAAAGAGGAGTAAAGAGACTTCAAAACATGCAGATGAGACTCAAAGAATCCCTTACAAAGGCAAGCATTAAGCATTAGTATCATTTAACAATATATTTTTTTAATTTTACTTATTGATTTGAGAAAGAGAGAGGAAGAGAAAGAAACATGGATTTGTTGTTACACTTATTTTTGCATTCATTGATTGCTTCTACTATGCTCCCTGACCAGAGATCGAACAGGAACCGGAACCAGAACCCTGACCTATCTAAACAACTGAGCAACTCACCAGGGAAGCATTAGTATCATGTAACATGCTTGGTCTGTAAAAGGTAACTCACTTTGGAAACAGTAAACCATTTTTCTAACATGGAGATACCTATAAATAGTTTATTATTCTCTTATAGAGTCTCACAAAAAGCAAAGGCACACATATAACATCTTTGTAAACCAATTAGAGTAATAATAATTTTTAAATTTGAGAACTGCATCACACAAATTTTTAGATTACATGTTTGGAAATGCTGGTTAATATCCATTACAAGATTTGGAAAACAAAGTACTAAAAAAAAACTGTTATCAAGAGCTAAAATGTAATAGTGCCCTACATTTGAAAATGCTTTTCATTAACACGTACCTGATTAAGGTAATGATATTCGTCTGGTTGCTTAAGATGGAATGCTAATCTCTCTTCTTCACTTGCTCCTGCCAGGAGGTAATAGAATACATGATAGTTCCTGTTGGAAACAAAGAAGTATGGCTTTATAATGAGCATGATCTATGGTTATCATTTAACTGGGGAAAAAGCAAACATTAATTACTAAAATGTTTCAGCTTTGCTTCATTTTTTAATACAAAGGTGATAAACTCAATACTTAAGTACTATAAAATAAAATAATGTTTTGGATGCTGAATTCAAAACAGAAGAGTGACAGCAGCAATATGACAGTTAGAACACTAACAAATTTGTATAAATCAACTTTTTAGAACTCTCGAAATTAACAAGCGTACAACAATCCAGGGAGTGTTTACACAAGAGAAACAGCTCAGTAAAACCAGTAAGCTTTGTGGCCTTTTTTTTTTTTTAAATTTTTGTAACATTTTCACAGGGAAATTTTTTGTTAATGTTTTTATTGATTTTAGAGAGTGAGGAAGGGAGAGGGAGAGAGATAGAAACTTCGATCAGCTACCTCCTGCACGCTCCATACTGGGGAACGAGCCCACAACCAGGGCATGTGCCCTAACCGGAAATCCATCTGGCAACCTCTTGGTGCATGGGTCAATGCTCAACCACTGAACAACACCGGCCCAGCTTGCTTTGTGGCCTTTTAACTTGTTCTATTCCATCTGCTGCTTGCTTGATCCATGGTAGCCTTCAAAACCAACAGTTTACAATCCTGGTCAACACCAGAAGCCAGGCAACCTCCAAAGGGAGCAGAAATGGGTTGGAGCTCATTCAGAGTCTCGTTCCATGAGAAATATCATTATCTGAACTGTCTGGAAGAAGGAATGTTTAAAATTGTCCTTATTTGACCTGAGCCACAGTAAACCAAGGGTGAAAATCTTTTCCCCAGGGGCATTTGTAGAAAACAATTATATGTAATTTTTTAACATGTCACTGTCTGAAGCAAAGGGTAAGTGTTGGGGTAAAATATAGGCTAGTCAAATACTTAAAGAAAAACTCTAAGAATCTCCACACAGTCTTTGAAAAGCTCCAATATATTCCTGAGAATCTAGATGACCATGCACATATACCTATGGAATATTCTCAAGGATAGACGATATAAGACTACAAAACAAGTCTCAGTAAATTTAAGGGGGCTGAAATCATACAAAGTATGTTCTCTAACCATCTTACAAATCAATTAACAAAAATTTCCAAAATTCACAATTATGTGGAAATTCAACAACACATTCCTAAATAATGTAATGGATCAAAGAAGAAATCACATAGGAAACTAGAAAATGCATGAAAACAAAAATACAACACACTAAAATATGAGAAATAGTTGAAGCAGTGTTCAGTAGGACTTTATAGCTGTAAACCCATATTAAAAACAATCTCAAAAATAAATAAATAAATAAATAAATAAATAAATAAATAAAATTTTTAAAAAATAAAAATGATCTCAAATCTATAACCTGAGAAACCACTTTAAGAAACCAGAGGGGGGGGAAAGGAGCAAACTAAACCCAAAGCAAGCAGAAGGAATAAGCACAAGAGTGGAAATAAAATTGGGAACTGTAGGAAAAAAAGAGAGAAAGAGCCCTAGCCAATTCTGTTTAGTGGTTAGAGCACTGGACTATGGACTGAAGGGTCTAGGGTTCGATTCCAGTCAAGGGTACCTTGGTTGCAGGCTCGATCCCCGGCCCGGATGGGGCACATGTGGGAGGCAACCAATCAATGTGTCTCACTCACATCAATGTTTCTACCTCCCCCCTCAGAAAAAATATGCTCGGGCCCAGCCGTGTGTGGCTCTGCAGTTGAGCGTCGACCTAGGATCCAGGCGATCGGGGTTCGATTCCTGGTCAGGGCACATGCCCAGTTGCGGGCTCGATCAATGACTCTCTCATCATTGATGTTTCTATCTCTCTCTCTCCCTCTTCTTTCCTCTCTCTGAAATCAATAAAGATATATTAAAAAAAAAAAAAATTAAAATATATATATATATATATCTCCTCGGGTGAGGATTAAAAGAGAATGAGAGAGAGAGAGAGAAATCAATGAAGCCAAAGCGTGGTCCTCTGGAAAGAGGGAGTAGGTTGTTATGGTCTGAATGTGTACCCATCAAATTCCTATGTTGAAATCATAACTCGAAAAGGTGGGGCCTTTGAAAGGTGATTAGGTAATGAGGGTGGAGCACACATGAATGGGATTATTGCTATTATAAAAGAGATCCCAAAGAGCTCCCTATAGCTGTCCACCATGTGAAGATCCAGGAAGAGGGCTCTCCCCAGAATTCAACCATGCTTGCATCTTCATCTTTTCCCAGAGTCCAGAACTGTGAGAAATAAATTTCTGTTGTTTATAAGCTACACAGTTTGTAATATTGTGTTATACAGTCAAACCTCAGGGGTTTTTTTCATCTTTATTATTGAAAGTACAGGTGTTCCTCTTTCCCCCCATCAATGCCCTCCACCCTGCATCCACCCATGTGCCGCCCCCCCCAGGCCTTCTCCACACTATTGTCTGTGTCCACAGGTCATGCATATATGCATCAAGGTTCTCTGATTAACCTCTCCTCACCACACTCCACACTCCTGCCTTCCCTCTGAAATTGCTAAGTGAAACAAGCCAGTAAGAGAAAGACAAGTATCATATGTTCTCACTCATATGTGGAATCTAATAAACAAAATAAACTGATGAACAAAACAGATACAAAGATATAAACCCATGAAGCAGTTGGACGAATTTCAAACCTTAGTTCTTGAAAGTCTCCCATCTCAAACAATCGGTTCTCAACCAAGATGTTCACGCAAAAATGTCTCAGTTTTCAAACAAAACTCAGGTTCTCCACCCAACAACCCTTTCATGCTGATACCTGTATGGTTAGTCACACATCTCTCAGGTGACAAAGGAGAAAATATGTATGAGTCAGTTTCCAGCTAAACCTTGCTGTGTTAATATCTCAGGAAATTGTGCTATGAATATTTTCATGTGTTTCTGCTTCTGTTACTGCTTATTATTATTAAATACTTACAGTAAGTCACCATGGGCCCTAAGGAGGTTAGTGATAGCAGCAAAGTGAAAAGGTAAGTTATGAGAACAACAAATGGGCTTAAAAAAGAAACAATTGCCAAGTATGATAGAGCTGTTTGCCTGTCTGATCTGGCTACCAAGTATGGCATGGTGAAATCAACTATTAGCACAATTTTAAAACATAAAGAGGCCATCAAGAGTGCTGATATGCCCAGCCAGTTTGACTCAGTGGTTGAGCGTTGACCTATGAACCAGGAGGTCGCAGTTCAATTCCCGATCAGGGCATATGCCCTGGTTTCGGGCTTGATCCCCAGTGAGGGGTGTACAGGAGGAAGCTGATCAATGACTCTCTGTCATCATTGATGTTTCTGTCTCTCTCTTCCTCTCCCTTAAAAAAGGAGTGCTGATATATCCTGGTTGGTGTTGCTCAATGGTTAGAACATCAGCCCATGCACCAAAAGGTCTCGGGTTTGATTCCCAGTCAAGGGCACATGACAGGCATGTGTGGGAGGCAACCAATTGATGTGTCTCTCTCACATCGATGTTTCTCTTTCTTTCTCTTTCTCTCCCTCCCTCCCTTCCACTCTCTCTGAAAAATCAAAGGAGAAAATATTCTAGGGTGAGGATTAACAGAAAATCAGAGAAAAGTGCTGATGTTGCTAAGGGTGTGAAAGTGCTCATGAAACAATGATCACAGGTAATTGAGAAAGGTTAAAACAGCGAATCATCTGGGGTTCTACAACAGATTAATTTAATTTTCATTATTTCCAATGGGAAAAAATGATTTGGTTTTCAAACAAATCACTTCTAAAACAGTCTTCCAGATCAAATTAAGTTCAAGAACTGAGGTTCCACTGTATCAGCCTGAATGACCTAAGGCAAGGATATATCTCAAAATCAGGAATGAAACGGGTGGACATTATAATCTAACAATCTTATGGAATAAAAAAATGTTATACAGGAATATTATAAACAATATTTTTGCCAACAAATTAGGTAACCTAGATGAAATGGACAAATTCCTAAAAAGATAAAAGCTATCAAATCTGACTAAAAAAGAAAATAAAAATCTAAACAGACCCATAATAGCTAAAGAGTTTAAATTAGTAATCAAAACTCACAAATAAAAACCTAGACCAAACGGTTTCACTGGTGAATTCTACCAAACATTTAAAGAAGAATTAACCCAATCCTTCACAAACTCTTCCCGTCTTATTCTATGAGCCAGTATTATCCTGATACCAAAACCAATTAGGGAGCATAAGGGAGGCAACCGATTGATGTTTCTCTCTCCCTCCCTCCCTACATTCTAAAATCAATAAAACATATCTTTGGGTAAGGATTTTTTTTTTTTAAATCTCCTAGCAGCTTCAGAAAAAGTGTGCTGCTCTGTCTGTGACAGAAATAGCAATTATACATAAAGCTATGCATGGTATAAACTGAATTAAAGGTCATAACATACAAAGATCCTAAAAGTCAATCAGCATTATACAAATGTTAACTTGATCTAATTAATACAAATGAAAATATGTACCGTTCATTATGCTCTTGATAAACGAGTCTGGACTTCTCCAATAGGTATTTTTCAACGTAGGCACTAGAAGAAAAATAACATTGGTTAATATAATTAATATAAGGCAGACAAATATTCTTTCAGAGAAAATAAAAAAGTATAAAGAAGGATATCCAGATCATTTTAGTACATTTACGATTATTAACTGTGTATGGACACTGTTAGAGAGTTACCCATGTTAGATTCATAAACTCATAAATTTTTTTTATATTTGTTATTGATTTCAAAGAGAGAAAGGGAGAAGGAGAGAGATAGAAACATCAACAATGAGAGTCATTGATCAGCTGCCTCCGCACACCCCCAACTGGGGACAGAGCCAGCAACCGGGGCATGTGCCCTGACTGGGAATCGAACCTCAATCTCCTGGATCATAGGTCGGAGCTCACCGCTGAGCAACACCAGCCTGGCAACTCATAAAACTTTTTTATGTTTTGTTTTATTTTGCTTTCAATAAAGCAAAGTAAAGCCAGAAGTTCAAAACAGCGCACACAAGAACTTCCCATAACATAGATTTTTACTTTCTTTCTAGACTCATATACCATGCTATACATTACTTCAAATGTTATACTTTGGCCAGACTACTAAATAAGGCTCAAAGATATACTTTCTTCACATAGTCATGCTATTGCCACATTCTGAAATCAATTAATTATTTACTAATTTACTCAGTAAGTACTCATTAATTGTGCACTGTGCTAAGCATTATTCAAATATGGAAAAAGTGAAACATCATACCTGTTCTCAAGGTGCTTACAAAATAGTGGAGGAAATAAGTAAATTAGCAGCTATCATACTGAGTTGATTTGGTTTATTATAGAGCAATGACCAAAATATTATAGATGTACCAGGAGAGACACATAAGATTTAATCCAAGAAGGAAAAAGGATGTAAGGAAGAATCCCCCATAGAGGGTAAATACAAAGCGCATAGTGAACATTCATTAAATATATCTAATAAGTGACTAAATCTGAAATTTGAAAGATTGACCAGAATAAGGCAAGGAAAACTGCCTTTGTGTAAAGGCATAAAAGAATAAGGATACCTATCAACTTCAGGAAAGAAACAACACCTTGCTGATGGGCTATTTCGAGCCAGAACTCGCCTGTGCAGCCAGCTATGACTGGTCAGCAAGGTGTTTAAAATTACTTACATTAATGTAAGCATGGAAACGAGTTATCTCACGACTGGTCAGCACCATTCAGACATGGAAACGTGTATACTCATGACCAGTCAGCAAGGTGTTTTAACATCGCTAGAGAATGAGATAGGTAAGTGGACTAGATTAAGAAGGACCAATATGCCATGTGCCAGAAGATTGGAATTTATCCTGAAAGTAATGAGGAACTTAAACATGAATTGTATTTCTGACATTATTCTCTTTATCCAGATTGTATCCTTCAAGTCTTCAACACCTCTTACCTAAATTGGAGAAACTGGTTAAGCTCTAACAAGAAAAGGAGATTCCATAAATTTAAAAGCTTTAGACTACTGAATCCAAATTACTTAGCATGTACCTCTTTGGGGTCAAAATCTGACATTTGAGCTATTATTTCCCTCAGTTCCCTCCTACTGCATGCTCTGTATTTCAGCCACTCCCAAATACTGGCTATTCCCTCAAGAATGATATTCACTCCTGAATATATTGTTCATGGTCTTCCTTCCCACTCTCTGTCCAGTAGACTCAATCCATTCATTAAAAGGAAGCTCAAATGTACCTTCTTTGCAAATTCATTGTCACTACCATCACTAGTAATTAAAATTTATCACTTCTTCTGAATTATCATTATCACTTCTAATCTAAACTACTGAAACAGGCTCTTATCAGTCTAAAATGGGAAAAAGGGAAATAACAAACTAGTGTGTCAATTTCTTACACCCACCCTGCAAGATATCTTTGAGTATCAGTTTCTCCCCTTGTAAAACGGAGGCATCTGTATTAATGAGATTGATCTGTATTTTTTATGCTATTTTGATTATGCTTAAGTCTTATCACTTTACTTTTTGTATGCATGTATCTATTTGTATGAGTTTATTTGAGACAAACTGACGACATATCTGGGGAGCAAGATCTCAAATGCTTCTGCACTTAGATTTAAAAATTTTGGCCAACATTATGTGTATACTTAATGCCCTTCACCCCAAGAAAACAAAAACAAAAACAAGGATAAATTATTCTGTAATGACAAGTTTCATAGCTCANTCTTAATGCCCTTCACCCCAAGAAAACAAAAACAAGGATAAATTATTCTGTAATGACAAGTTTCATAGCTCATTTCTTTCCTGATTTGAGAAATGTTAGTTTTCAAAGGTACAGTTGATACTTTTACTCATAAAAGCGGGATGGAGTCAAGTCTGGCTGCTCTTTCCTAGTAATATTTATGATTGTGCTGCTGAAGAGATTATAAATAGGTAAAGTTGAGTATATTGCTTTGTAACTTACAAAGTACCATTATATATATTCCCTGATTCTTAAGACAGTTTCATGACTTAGGAATGACAGATATTTATTCTCCCATTTTAGGGATGAAATTCAGGCTTATTTATGTTAAGTGACTACCTAGATTCAAAAGGTTAAACCTTCTCTTACATCAATAATGAGCAAAAAAATCTTCATCTTGAGTAGTATGTCAACAAATAGAACCAGGCTTAAAAAAAATCACCTGTTCGAGTGCTCTCTCAGAAGAGCACGCTGGTGCCTTCCCCTTTGCTGTCTGCTCCCCCACAGGCATGCATCTCCTAAACTCTAAGAGACCCCATGAGACATTTAACCAGGGGAGCAATGGGCAGTGGCAGCTCATCTCGGCTAACTCACTGAACCTGTCTCCAAGGCCCCCTTTTCCTGACTTCCCAGTAAGCTAAAGCAGCCCTGCCTCAACTCATGTCTTTCTTATACATTTTTAAAATTTTATCTTTATCGTTGAAAGTATCACAGATGTCCCCCTCTTTTCCCCCCATTGACCCCCTCCACCCGGCTCCCAACCCTCCCAGGCCTTTTCTACACTATTGTCTCTATCCATGGGTTAAGCATATATGCATATAAATTCTGTGGTTAACCTCTTCCCGTTCCCCACCACCCTCCCCTCTGAGATTCGTTGGTGTATTCCATGGTTCCATGTCTCTGGATCTATTGTGTTTGCCAGTTTATTTTGTTCATTAGACTCCAAAAGAAAAAAGTTGAAAAACAATTTAATGCAGACACCATTAAAAATCTGCTTCCCAGTGTCACTATTCTCATTAAAGAGCAAATGAACAATCTATGGCTTATAAAGGGATAATAATGAAAATATAAACATGCCAAAGTCTGACATTGCTACTTACCCAAGTACAGTGCCTGTTTCTTGGTAATTTACTTGAATAAACTTGCCAAAACGACTTGAATTGTTATTATGAGCTGTCTTTGCATTTCCAAAGGCCTGTCAAAATAAATATTTCTCATTAATTTCATTTTCAAAATATGGAAAATACACCCTAGCCAGTTTTGCTCAGTGGTTAGAGCGTTGGCCCAAGGACTGAAGGGTCTTAGGTTCAATTCCGGTCAAGGGCAGGTACCTTGGTTGCAAGCTCCATCCTTGGCCCCGGCCGGGGCCTGGGGGAGGCAACCAATCGATGTTTCTCTCTCTCAATGATGTTTCTGTCTCTCTCTTTCTCTCCTTCCTTCTCTTTCTCTCTCCCTTCCTCTCCCCTCGGCCCCCCGCCCCACCCTCTCTGAAAAGCAATGGAAAAAATATTCTCTGGTGATATTTTCAGTCAGTGACGGCTCTAACCACTGAGCAAAACCAGCTAGGACTATATGTATTTCTTTTAATCTTGCTAAACTAAAATTTTCAAAAGCTAGGTAAAAAAGAATTACATCAAAATAATTATAATTTTAGAATAGTATAAGTGAAATAAAGTTTCATTACATAATGTACTATACTTTATTACACCTAATTAAAACTAGAGTACTATTTTAAAAAGAATAAAAATATATAGGTTTCCTAAATTATTACCTAAAGTATACACCACGCAATGAAATATTACCCAATAATAAAGATGAACTACTGGTATAGACATCAACACTGATAAATATTAAACATTATGTCGTGGGAAGAAACCATACACAAGAGTACGTATTACAATATAAAATTCTAGAAAAGGCAAAACAAGAATAACAGGAAGCAAATGAGAAGTTGTTTGGAAATAGAGGTGGGGTTGAAAAATGTCCACGAAGGAGTACACAAGGGTAATAAAAACAGCTTGACTATATGAATGTTGTTACATTGGTATCTATATTTATCAAAAATTATTGAACTGAACATTGTTTTTATCCTCAAAGGAGGATTATTTTCTACATTCACTTCTAGAGAGAGTAGAAGGGAGGGAGGAAGGGGAGAGAGGGAGGGAGAGAAAGAGAGAGAGAAACATCGATGAGAAGGAGAGACATTGATTGGTTGCCTCCTGTGCATGCCCAGTCAGGGCAGCGGATCAAACCTGCACCCAAAGTATATGCCCTAGACCAGAAATTGAACCTGAGACCTTTTAGTCTGCAGACCAACACTCTAACCACTGAGCAAACTGGCCAAGGCTCAAACTGTACATTTTAAATGGCTATATTTTATTGTATATCTCAATAAAATTTATTAAAACTGAAATTTAAAAGAAAAAATTCATTGTTGAACTCACATATTCAACAACTTGAATCTCTGAGGCATATCGTTGTATGAGAGAAACCAGTCTCCAAACTTTACATACTGTATGATTCCACTTATATGACAGCAATGGAGGAAAGACAAGAAGTTCCCATATATGGGAAGGCAGAAATAAAAAGATTAGAAATAGCATGAGGGAGTTTTATGGGATAGTGACCTATTCAGTGTCCAGACTGTATATAAATGATTTTTAAATTATTAAGTTTTAAAATTCATAGAATCTTTCTCTAAGGTTATTTCTTTCAATTTTAATATCTATTTGAAAAACTAAATCATTAGTAGATAAAGGCCAAAAAAAGACAATTTCAGATAAGGAAATGTGAAAATATTCATAAGCCAACTCACACTAAAGGAAATATTAAAGAAAGTCCTTCATGCAGAAGGAAAACATATTCAAATATGAATCAGTGTAGGGAATGGAGAACAGCAGAAATGGTAGCCACATGAGTAAATATATAAAATATTTATTACTTAAATGTATTTAAAAGACCATTAAGAGTGAGATCAGAGAAAATAATAAATATCTCTGAAAATTCTTTCCTATAAAAGAAGTACAATTAATAAAAATTGTCAAAATCAACTTTTTGATTACCCTGGAAATTAACCAAAGGCTTGGAAAAATCCTTTGCAGGGGAACATTTAATCATGGAAAATAGCTGAGCCCTGGCTGGTGTGGCTCAGTTGGTTAGGTTAGGCATCATCCTGTGCACCAAAGGATGCCAGTTCAAGATTCCCAGTCAGGGCACATGCCCAGGTTGTGGCTTGACTCCCGGTAGGGGGCATGCAGAAGCAGAGATCAATGTTTTCCTCTCATATCCATGTTTCTCTCCCTCTCCCTTTCTCTCTCTCTAAAAATCTTTAAAAAAAAAAAAAAATAGATGTAAATATTGTTAAAAAAAACACACAGGTATTGTGGCATTTTAACTTACCTGATTACCTTCTCCCTCTTCCTAGCTCCTCACTGAAGAGAAAACTGACACTACAAATACAGGGTTTTTTTCTAAAGGCAGCCTTGTAGTCATTGGAAGGACTAGACCAGAGTTAGAGCAAAAGCCCTGTCCCATAAATAATTGTCATAATTTGACCTATATGGCATTTCCTTGGAAAATTTCACTCAAAGGGCTATCTTTATTTGACTTAGAGATCACTGACTGAGAACAGCCTTTTCCCTCATGTGTGTTTGTGAAAAACAATCAGAGGTAGTTGTTCAAACACTGCAACTGCCTAAAATGGCAATACAAAAATGAGGCAAAAACAAGGTAACAACTTCAAAGGAAAAGCTGATGAATAACAAGTACAAAAGGGGCTTTGAAAAGATCTGAAATAATCCTAGAAATATAGAAGATGGTGTGCATGTTTAGGACTATGCACTCACCCAGAAATGTGTGCATACAAAGAGTTGGGACCTCCGGCTGACATTCAGGGTCTATGTAAACTAGAAGAACAGGTAAGGAAGAGTTGACAATTGCCTAGTTGAGTGTTGAGGGTTATCCCAACAAGGACACAGAAACTTGTAGAAGAAACTGGAAACCTTATTGCTTCCGAACATTTACAGAAATCCCTGTACTATCATTATTTAACCACTAGCTGAGTAGAGAATTTGAGAGTTTCACACAAAAAGGGATTGCAGACTAATTCAGGCAAGAGTGTGTCTGTTAAAGCAAAAAATTTGTCAAATAAAGCCCAGCTGGGTGTGGCTCATTGGTTGAGCATCGACCTAGAATCCAGGAGATGGCGGTTTGATTCCTGGTCAGGGCACATGCCCAGGTTGAGGGCTCGATCCCCAGTCAGGGGTGTGCAAGAGGTAGCTGATCAATGACTCTCTCTCATCATTGATGTTTCTCTCTCTCTCTCTCTCCCTTCTCCCTTCCTCTCTCTGAAATCAATAAAGATATATTTTAAAAAATAATAATTATTAAAAATAATAATAAAAAAGGTTTTCTGAATGTGTATGTTAAAAAATTGACAAATTAGTTTACCTGTTTTTACTTATGTAGATATGTTTGTGTAATTAAAATTAAGTATGTATGAAAAGTTTATTTCACAGAAAAGCTTTCTATATGTATTATAATAATTTTAATTATTTATACTGAATAGGTCTAGTAAATTGTGCATTCACCAGTCACAAGTAAACAAATGTACTCAGCTGGGATGTGGCTTAGCGCAAGAGATGAAACTGCTGCAGAACAACACAACAACAGAACCAATTACTGAGTGTGATGTGGTGTGATCATGTGCTAATCATTCGGCCAAAAAGTTTACAAGTGGTGACTCTTGGATTTAAATATGTAAACTATAGTTGTAGATATGTAATATTTACTTATATTGGCAAAATTACTACAGTGTTACTTCCAACAAATGGCCTATATGCTAAAATCTGTTAAAAATAACAGTGAATTAATAACAAAAATAACCTGTTAATTTAATTATAAGCAAATCTTGGTTAAAAGCATTTGAAAATTAACAGGGTGGTAATTTTCATAAATGACATATGGACAGACTGTTTGTCCATTAAATCTGAAGTCTGTTAAATCAAGGTCTGCAAAATTGAGGATTTTCTGTACAGACTTTGTGGAATTACTTCAAAGAGCAACCAAACAGCAATAATAAAACTACAAACCCTGGAAGGAGGAAAAATATTATTTCCAGAACTGCCACACTGTGTTAATAACAATGCCCAGCTTTTACTAAAAAATTATAAGACATGCAAAGAAGTAATAAAGTACAGACACAGAAAAATAAAAAGAGCAATAAACAGCAAATGTCCTTGACAAAACCCAGATGCTGAACTTTCTTGCAAAGACTTTTTATCAGCTATAGTAAGTATTTTCAAACAACTAAAAGACAGTATGACAAAGATGCCTTAACAATGGAAAATATCAGTAAAGAGGTAGGAATTACAAAAATTATAAAAATTCTGGTGTACATTAACTAAAATAAAAAATTCCTTAGAGGGGCTCAAGTAAAGACATGAGCAAGTAGAAGAATCAGCAAACTTGAAAAATGATCAAATTGAGATGATCTAATCTACAGAACAAGAAAAAAAATAAAAATGAACAGAGCATCAGAGACACGTGGAACATAAAACATATCAACATATGTATATAATGGGAACACCAGAAGAAGAGGATAGAGCAAAAGGGCAGAATGAATATTTCAACAAAAAATAACCAAAAACTTCCCAAATGTCATGAAAAACATTATACATCCAAGAAGCTCAATAAACTCCAATAAAAAAGATGGGTACTTAGACAACCCATGATTAAACTGTTGAAAGACAGAATCTTATAAGCAGCATGGGAGAAGCAACACGTCCCATACAAAGGATCCTCAATAAAAATACACCTAATTTCTCAAAAGAAACCATTAAGGATAAAAGACAACGGAATTACATATTCAAAGCACTGAGAATTGGGCAACTGGAGGAAAAAAAGGAATCCAGATTTTAAAAAAAGAAGTAAAACTATCTAAATTCAAAGATCATATAACTTTATACATAGCAAATGTGAAAGAATTTTTTTAAAAACCTATTATATCTAATAAACAAATTCAACAAAGCTGGAGAATACAAAAGCAATACACAAAAAATCAATTATATTCTATATATCAATAATGAACAAAATAAAATTTAAAAGAAATAATTCCATATACAATAGTATCAAAAAACTAAAACACTTGGAAATAATTTAACAAAGATATGCAAGACTTGAACACTAAAAATTTTT